CTGAGATATTTCACTCAGCATAATGTCCTCCAGGGTCACTCATTTTGTGTAATATTGCATGAGCTCCTTGTTTTTCAGTGCAGCGTAGTGTTCCATTATGTGAATATACCACAGCTTCTCTATCCATTCGTTTGTGGATGGGCACTTGGGTTCTTTCTTGCTCTTTGCTGTTGTGAACAAAGCAGCAATAAACATGGGTGTGCATAAGCATGTTTTTTTCTTTTTTTTTTCTTTTTTGCATAAGCATACTTAAGTTTATTTAGCCAATGAATAAGGTTGAGTTGTTAACATATACATATATCTCTTAATGATAATTTTTAAAATTAAAAATATTGAACGTTTTCTAAATATTTTATGATATTCTACTACCTAATGCTTTAAGAGCATCTCCCATTTTAAGTACAGTGAAATGTGTTATCTCAGGGACTTTGATTTTTACTTCATTAAAAAATACCATTTCCCTGTTTCTATTATATAGTACAGTTTTTGCCTTTTTGAGTTACTAACACCTTCAGGTTTTTTAATATAAACCATTTTGAATGGAAGAGTGGACCATTCATTATTACGTGGGAAATGTGTTCTACTTGATGTGGTGGTGGTGGTAGATTTCATCATGCTGAGTACAGTTCATATCATAGAGACCCTGTGAACCACAGATCTGAGCCCTGCCCTGCCCTTCACGCTGCCCAGCATTTCTGACAGACTGGAGTCCAATGCAATAGATGCTGTATTAGTCCCTCTCGTTGAGGGTCTTCCTCTCCTTCACTGACTGTCCCCTTTTCCAAGCCTGACGTCCCTCTGAAAGGAGTAGCCTCTCCTAAACAACAAGCCCGCGGTGTGTGAGACAAAGCTTTGTCATCTTGACCTCCAGGGAGCACTCTGGCTGCACTTCCTTCAGGGCATATGTCTCTGTCCTTTGGCAGCCCGTGAAGTATTCACTACTCTTATCCAGAACCACAGTTTGTAGACATCAATTATTCTTCTCTCATCCTTATTCATTGTCCAGCTCTCAGATGCATAGGAAGTGATTGAAACGACTGCAGCCTGAATCAAGCACATCTTAAGATGAATTTAACAATCATTTGTGAAAGAAAAAAAAAATATCATCCTTGGTGTCCAAGGTTTATTGTTCAAGAGGATCCTTCAGCAAAATGGACATGCTTCCTACCTCAGGGTGCTGGTTTAATGGAGATGGGTAAATCAGCACTTGGCCATCTGGAGGAGAGGAATAGACGAGGAGGCATTAAATAGATAGCTTGCTTACATGTTTTCATAACAGTAGTTGTTGGTAGGTTGATTGTAAGGGAGGGAAACCCCCAATATAAATGAACAAAATTAATGTAAAAGAAGAACTGTATGGAACACATAGTACATGCATTAAATACAATGTATATGAATGATAGAGATTTTAAATGCATATTCATTTTAATCTGCGGCCCATAGCCCTGGTTTTAATTGTTTTTCTTCAAATATTATCCTAAGTAGTATAGCACTGATCTGTCCATTTGCTGTCCAGAGGTAACTCATGGTTGCTGTGATGTTAAACACTGTGACACTGATGTGCCAAATGTGATAATGGTCACCCATGGTGGACAGTGGTTGGTGGAGCTACCTAATTAAAACAAGCTTACAAGCAGGAGTGGCATCCACTTCTGAAATGGCTTGCCTCTGGAAACTCTGTGAACATGGAGAAATGACCAAAGTTATACACGTGTTCAGGTCTTTTATTCATAGGGTCACTATGAGTTTTCTACGGCTCAACAGCACTTAACAACAACATTCATTTAAAAAGGTTTCTTGTTCAAAATGGCTTTCGTAACCATTGATTTGACTTTTAATTTTGTGATGAAGTGTTTATTGTATTAAAAAGATAGGATTAAAGTATGATAAAAGCCTACCCTACTAGGTCAAAGACTCTTCAATATGGATTGAGGCACAACATCAAGAAAACAGAGTCTCACTGCTGGGAAGCACCATGATAAATGGAGATTGAGATTGTTAACTCTTTTAGCTTGGTTGGCTCCATAGTCAACATTCTTGGCACCAGCATCCAGGAAATCAAAAGACAAATTGCATTGAGGAAGTCATCTCTTACAGATCTCTCCAGACTGCAAAAGAACAGTGATGTCAGTCTAGAGACTAAGGTGAGTCCAATCCAAGCCATGGTCTTCACAATTACTTACTGTGCATCAGAGAGCTGGACAGTGATTAAAGATGACAGAAGACGAGTCGATGCCTTTGAGTTGTGGTGCTAAAGAAGAGTGTTGAATATACTATGGACTGAAAAGAGAACTAACAGATTTGTTTTGGAAAGGGCGAAACAAAGTTTCTCCTTGGAGGTGAGGATTTTGAAGCTCTCACATACTAGGAGCACATGACTAGGAAGATCTAGTCCTTGGAGAAGGACATAATACTCAGAAGGATGAAAGGACAGCATAGGAGAGTAAGACCCCAGATGAGATGGATTGACATGGTAACTAGGATAATGGAGGTAGGTGTGTTGGAGTCAGTGAGACTGGCTCAGGATAGGGCAGGGTTCAGAGCCCTTTTCTAAAGGGTCACTATGAGTTGCAGGTAACTCAATGGTACATAACAACAACTAGATACTAGATATATAAGCTCATGAAAACTCAGTGCTCACACTCTTTTGGGACCAAAGACAACAGCCTCGTCAAAAAAACCCCCACACATGTTGTTATGTGCTGTTGAGCTGCCTACAACTCATGAAGACACTACGTACAATAGCTCCCCACTTTGACCTGTCCTGAGCATTGGGCAGTTGTGCTACCAGGAACCCTTCCAGGTTACTGAAGAACAATGATGTCAGTTTGAAGATTAAGGTATTCCTGATTCAGGCCATGGTCTTTTTCAGTCACTTAACTATGCATCTGAGAGCTAGACAGTGAATAAAGATGGCAGAAGAATTGATGCCTTCAGCTGTGGTATGGGAGAAGAGTACTGAATATCCCAGGGACTGCCAAAAGAACAAACTTCAAAAACTGCAGCCAGAATGCTCCGTGGAGGCATGGATGGCAAAACTTCATCTTACGTATTTTGGGCGTGTTGCTAAGAGAGGTTTCTTGGAAAGGTGGAGGGTGAGTGTAAAGAGGGAAACCCTGAGTAAGATATATTGATGCAGTGACTGCACAAACACACTCATGTGTCAGAGATGAGGACGCCCAGGAGAAGACGGGGTTCAGAGCTGTGGGTCATAGAATCACTGTGAGTCAAGCTTGACTCAGTGCCACCTGACAACAAACAAAACATATACAAAACACATATGGCTAAAATGATCGTATCGGAACATTTTTGAGTGCATATGTAGTTTCCTTTAGTTTTCATATGAGAATCTAAAGTAGTGGGTTGTTTTGGTTTTTTTTAACAGATGAGTGTATTTACTAAGAGAAAGAAAGAAAACCAATTGCTGTAAGATTAAACTTTATTCTAATAACTTCATTTCCACAGATGTATCTAAACCTGCAAGATCAGAATATACTCACTGTGGACATTGTGAAGAATGGTCTCCAGGATTACTTTCCTCATGCTAACCTTGGGGATATTTTGGGAATTCACTCTAAATATGATCAAGAAAGAAAAGTAAGTTGAAATGGAACATCTCAGAATGAAAGCTAAGACACATTTTATGTAATCTCATTAACAGAATTATTTAATATCGTTTACTCATGATTTGGATTCTTGTACCAAAGAGCGAAGACATATATTACCCTTTTCAATGACTGGAGCTGTGTAAAGTACTTGTTACCTCTGTTTGTTTGTTTATTTTTTTTTAAAGAACACAAAAATGTAATTCTCAGAGTTAATGATATTGTCTCTAGAATTTTTAGGTGCATATTTTATGTTCTTAGAAAGTAAAAAATGGAACTCTAGGATTTTAGACAAATTCTTAGGCAAGATCTAGACTCTGGAAGGAACTTCTTATCCGTGTTGAATTTTTAAGAATAATGCGAATCATGTCTGCACACACTCACTTCCATGTAGTCGATTATGACATAGAGTGAGTGATCTTCCATTGAATGAGTTTCAGAGGCTTTAAATCTTGACGGGAAGAGATGACCCTTCTTTCTCTAGAGCCTGTGATGGTGTTGAACTGCCAGAGACAATCCACCTTTTGGTTAATAGCTCAAATGCCACCAGAGCTCCTTAATATTAATCATGGGTTTTCTAAGCAGGATTTCGAATATTGTAGGAGTGTTTTCAAAAGGACATCTGCTCTTTTCATTTATTTCCCAGTGGTCTTTTCGGGTAAAGTTCAAAAGGATTCTCTATTTACAGGGCCCCCCCAGATGTGGCCCCTTTTCGTTTGTTTGCCAGCCTCGTGTTCCACAGCTTCTTGTTGTTGTTTCTGGCCCAGCCACAGCGGCTGCTTTCTTGAAAGAGACAAGCGGCTTCACAGCAGCAGGATTTCACCTTCGTCATGTCAGTGCCTGCCAATGACTGCTTGCTTTTCCTTCTTGTTCTTTTGCCTGTCACCTTGAAGGTCATTTCTTTTTCACATTTTCTACACAAAGGAGCACTTAATGGCAGAGAGATTAGAGAATTGCGGAAGTTTGGATCTGTCGTTTCTCCTTGTTCTGAGTGATGCAGATGAAGGCCCATTCACTGACTTGAACGCGTTACCTCTTCCATGTCATTAAGGGAGACTCTACTTTGATGGAGCAGTTCATCCCCAGTCAGGACTGGAGTGTCTTCCCACCTGAGTGGACTCGTCTTCCGGCGCTCTCTGGGGCAGTGTTCTGTTGCTTTTGTAGAGCTTTTCAAAGACCCCTTGTTTTGGAAGTGGGTGACCAGTCCTGGGCCTTAATCTGGAAGCTCCACTGAAACCCGTCCCCCACGGGTGACCTTGCTGTATTTGGGAATACCAGTGACAGAGTTTCCAGGAGCCGTGCAACAGCAGAGCAGGCGGATCACAGACAGGTGGCACGGAAACTTCCTTAGAACTTAGGAAATGAATAACTTCATAATTCAGCTCATGATAAGTTAATCACAACTTTTGGAGGATGACATATAAAATACACTGTTTTGGATGAAGAGTTTAAGAAGTTTTCCTCTATTAATAAACTCCTATAACTATAACCATGATAGGATATTGCTTTCAACCCCCACAATTACCATATATTTATTTACATTGAACAGTGCATTTTTAATAAATATATCTCAAAAATGACTTTTATTCAAGATACAAAAATGAAAAAATTCCTTACAGTGAAACAACAAAACCATTAACTCACTTACAAATATGGAAAAGATTTTAATGAGTGTTTCGCAGTTGAAGATATATGAATATCTGAAAAGCACTTAACACTATTTCCTAAAGTTAAACCCTATCGTGATTTTTCTATACACCCACTTGAGTGGGTAAGATCGTCATCATGCATTCTGTACCTTATCTAAGGTAGCTTTCCCCACTTAAAGGTACAAAGATTACCTCACTTGGTTTTCTTTTAACTCATCCCTTTAGGTAATGCATTAAGTTAATTTTAGTATATGTGGCAAAGTAGGAGTTCAACATCTTATTATTCTTTAAATTTCCAATTAACTCTGGCACTAGTTTTTTAAAATATCATCCTTTATCATATTAAATCATTAGGATTTTTGCTGAAAATTAGTTACCTGTTTTTGTGTGGTCTTGTATCTGGGTATTTGTCTTGTTCTATTGTTCTCTGTGCCTCTTTTTAGCTGGTAATATTACGATATCCATATTACTTTGACTTTATACTATTATATGGATGTGAAAAATGGGCGGTGGAATTTAAATTCCAATGCCATTTGTTGTTGTTATGTGCCATCAGGTTGGAACTAAGTCATAGCTGACCCTGTCATGGGTTTTCTGAGGCTGTAATTCACATGAATGTAGACTGCAACGTTCTCCTGTGTAGCAGCTGGTGGATTTGAACCACCTGACTTTGGGTTGGCAGTGCAACTCCTTACCCACTAGGCCATCAGATCTCCCTTTGGCTAATACAAGTATTTGTATTTTGATATAAATTTCATGGTAACTTCTGCACTATTTTGATTGAATTCTTGTTTCCACCGGTTACATTTCTTTTTATAGTATTGTTTGAAGTGCAGCTCTTTGAGTAATGAGGCCTCTCTGTGTTTGGGTGAGGGGAAGAGAGAGGTGAGAGGAAGGAAAAGGAAAGGGAAAGATGATTTTTTTTCACTGTGCAGATTTGCCTCTTGATACTATGTTTTCTAAGTTAATAATTTTTTTTTCCTATTTCAGTTTTTTAGAAGATAATGTTTCATGGTGTTGTGTTGCTTGGTTTCTGACAAGAAGTGTGTTATTTTTATTTTACTTCATATGATGTCTCCCAGCTCCTTTTAGAATGATCTTGTTTTTAAATTGAGTAATCTATTTTCATCTTCTTACTGAAATGTAATCAGTTGTATTGCTATTCTATCTGTATTGTCTGTGTGCTAATCTTTTCTTCTCTGGCCTTCATCTCTGTCTCTGCAAATGACAGTTGAGGAAGTGTGTTTACGGTTAGAATTTCAGGACCGCGTAGCAATCGCCTCCTTTATTTCCTCTCTCCATTTATCTCTCACTTGTGGTACCTGTTTTGCAATACTTATTATATATTTTCAAAATCTATCTCATCCAATTTTGAGGGATTTATGAGGGAACATAAAGCTAGAACTATGTGAGTACTTTTAAGGAAGCCAATAGAATCTTTATAAACTATCATAAAATGTGACTGTTAAGCTATGGCTATGTTTGCTGTCTGCATTTAAAAACAGCAACAACAAAGGACAATGTTTCCTGACCACTGCTCAGGGAGCTCTGGTGGCCTAGTGGTAAAGAGTTGTTCTGCCAGTGCAAAGGCACATAGTTTGAATCCACCGGCAAGCTGCTCTGCGGGGGAAAGATAGGCAGTCTCCTTCCTGTGTGAAAACCAGTCAAGGGTCAGCCATGAGTTGGTTCTGACATGTAACAACAATGCTGCTCTATGTAGCTTTTAAAAATACTTATAAAAGACCGATAAAAATAACAAAAGAATTTCAAAAATGAGACATTTTTAAATTGCATTGAAAGCTGGGATAGTGCTGCTTCTCTTTTCTCATGTACTTTTTTTTCAGACAGCGGTAGTTGTTTAACTCTGATGGTTTTTAACTGGATAGGCAGGAGCAAGCTTTTATAAGATGTCTGGTTTGGGTCCTTTGCCTCAAGCTCTTTACAATGGTGAACCCTTACGACCTGAAGAAATGCATGTTAAAGAGATAGAAACGGCCGTCTTCCGAAGAATGATGGACACAAATGCATATTTACAAAGGGAGGTTTATATGGTACGTAAGCACAAGTCTATGGGGGAGAGAATAGTCTAAAAGTATTATATTTTAGGGCATTATGTTTATCGTAGTACGCAATGAGGGTTGCAGAGTGGATTATATTTGGGGTTTGGGGAGGTGCGGGGGGGATTGTGTACCAATGAGGGAGTTTTTCTTTTGCTTTTCAAGGAGAGGAGCAAACGGGGGGGGGGGGGGTTGGGTTTGTGCAGGGAGAAGGGTGCAACAATGAATGAATGGAATTCCAAAATCTCTGTAGATGTTCATTGAAATGAAAAATAAATAAAAATATTTAAAAAAAGAACATATGCAAGACTATTTCTAAGAAGGTCTTTTCATAATAAAAATTGTTGTTGTTGCTGATGATTACCTTTGAGTAGGGCACAACTCATTGCGACTCTATGAACAAAAGGCCTGAAGCCCCTTTACAACTATGGACATTTATCAAAGTTCATAGAGCTTCCGGAGGCATGTTGTTTAGGAAATGGATGTCACTCCTGCTTCCACACCTGTTATAGTATGTTATTGTTGTAATATGCCATTGAGTTGCCTGAGATGTATAGTGACCCTGTGTACAGCAGCTCTGAACTCTTCCCTGTCCTGAGCCAGTCTCACTAATTCCGACACACCACTCCCCATCACCCCAGTTACTGTGTCAGTCCATCTCATCTGGGGTCTCCCTCTCCTGCGCTGTCCGTCCACCTTTCTGAACATGATGTCATTCTCTAAGGACCGATCTCTCCTGGCCATGTGCCCAAAGTGAGGCAGAGCTTCAAAATCCTAGCCTCCAAGGAGAGACCTGATTTCACTCTCTCCAAGACAAACAAACCTATTTGTTTTGTCAGTCCATGGTATGTTCAAGACTTCTCCAGCATCACAGCTCAGAGGCATTTATTCTTCTTCTATCATTCTTAGTCATTGTCCATCTCTCTGCAGCATAACAAGTAATTGAGAAGACTATGGCCTGGATTAGGCGCACCTTTATATCTTAAACTTCTGTTGTTGGCAGTTACCTCTAAAAGTAAACTTTATGAAGGAGAAAAATTTCTATTTTTATAAAACATTTGTCACAATCATGTTACTATTTTTTTTACTTTATTAGATAAAAAGTTAAAATTATTTTCTTAATTATCTATGTAATTTTAAAACAATTTGTTTAAGTTGTCTGCATTACTTAAATGTTTTTCTTATTTTAGGACAGATTAAATGATCATACAAATGTAATTGATTTCCTCATGGATAAGAGTACTGTCGTACCTCGTATCAATTCTTTGATTTTACACACAAAGCCGCAGTACCTTAATTTCATACCTACATCAGGTAAAATTATCTTCCTTGTACTTTTCTACAATACTTACTACGTTAGTATATATTTTATTTTTATTTAACATTTAATGTGAACATTTTTTAGTAACTGCTGACATTGAGGATTTCGCTACATTTTCTTTCTTGGATTCACAAGATAAGACTGTTGTAATTGCCAAGAACATGCATTATTTAACCCAAGGAGGTAATAAGCTTATTTTCATTTCCTCTCTTAATTCCCTAAAGTTATAAAAACCATGTAATTTTAGTGAAGTACTCTGCAAAATATATTTTAACTCTTTCTGTTTAAGTAGAAAGCCTTCATATTCGTCTTTTAAAAGTTTATAATTTGTTGGGATTGATGTCTTCTGTGCTCTCTCATCCTGTTTGCTTAAGGGATTCTTTTGGGGGGCTGTGCCGTTGTTAGAGCATAGTTCTATTTTCACTTTAAGAAAACCATAAATCTTTTTTTAGGACTTTATAAACTGGTATCATAGAATGTTTGAATAAAACATTATTCATAAGCCAAAGGCAGTAAAAGGTCTTAAGCATCATTATGCCAGTATCCATCAGATATTTTACTTTTATTGATAGTTACAACCAGAGAAAAGAAGACCAAGTCAGTAACCTTTGGAAATGGGGATTATCTTCAGCAGAGAAGCGCACAGTGGGGGCATACATTTTTGGAGGGAAGACTATCTCTTTAGATAGAAGAAGCCATTAGAATTGGTTGGGTTTTGTTTTACATTGCTGTGATGGGCATTGTTTTGCTTGACTTTCTTTGTTCTAGAGAGACAAATTACAAACCTTTTGCCATCGAGTGAGAACCAACTGACAGCAGCCCTTCCTCTGTTTTGTCAGGCTCTAAGTCACACGGGAGGAGATTGCCCATCTTTCTCCTTCGGAGCAGCTGGTGGATTTGAACCAGGGGAATGGCATGGCCTGGGTTTGCAGGGCAACTCCCTACAAATTATACTGTGAGAGTTCCCTAGAGATAAGAATTTGACCCAAAATATAGAAGATAGAAAGAGAAGACTGATGCTTATCTCACTGTATAGACAGTAACATTCTACCAGTGGGAACAGTATAAAAATCTTCTGTAAAATGATTTGGGTTATCTTGTAAGGAATAGATTTTTATATATAAGAGATTTAAGTAAAAGTCAATTTTTTTAAATAAAAATTTTCCTTTTAATTGTGATTTTTAACAAAAGTTTACAGAAAAGTTGGATTTTAATTCACTCATTGTTTTACATTGTACCACCTCCCTCCTTTCCCGCTCCCCCAATCAGTTTTGTTTTGTTTTATTAACATTCATTATTTTTTTCACAATTACCTGCCTCCCCCTACCAGTCTACTTTGCAATCTACCTCCACTTGGGCTACTGTTATACATAAAATGCCTAATCTTATATTCCTTTAAGCAGTTCTTTCCTTCTGTTCTGATGCAGTGTTCATTATTTATTCCCTCTTTTTCTTAGTTTCCCCAACTCCCATCTAAGTCCTGTTTTATAGCAGTGGTGTTATGCAGTATTTATTCCTTGAGTGAGATATTTCACTCAGCATAATGTCTTTGAGGGTCACCTGTGTTGTGTAATATTTTTAGTTCCTTGATTTTCAGTGCTGTATAGTATTCCATCGTGTGAATATACCATAGTTTCTCTATTCGTCAGTGGGCACTTGGGTTGCTTACATCTCTTTACTATAGTGAATAAAGCAGCAATAAACGTGGGTTCGCATATATCTGCTTAGGTAGCAGCTCTGGTTTCTTTAGGATATATTCCCAGTAGTGGAATTTCTGGGTCAAATGGTATTTCTATTTCCAACTTTTTGAGAAGGTGCCATACCACCTTCCATATAAGGGTTCCAATTTCTCCACAACCTCACCAGCATTTTTATTGGTCACTCTGCTGAACATTGCTATTGTTACTGGGGTGAGATGGTAGAGCATAGTTGTTTTTACGTAAACATTTTTGTTGAGAATGCTTTGGAACCTATCCAGATGCTTAGCAGTGACACCAGGATTGCTTTCCAACAGTCTGTGCAATTTTATGTCCATAAAGTGATGATTTGTAAGATTGTCAACCAATAAATAAGTCATATTAGTGAAAGGAGTAAATGCAACCTGTCGGTGGCTGAGCCTGACTTCTGCCCCCTTCATAAAAGGGTACTATCCCCATCAGTAACATCCACAGCACCATGCAAGTAGATATGTAGTCAGACATAACACCTCCATGCTCCTGCACCTATTTTTACCAACCACTGGGTCCTGTGTTTGTTGCAAGAATTAGAGACTTTAATCATAGTTGTGAGATTTATTAGGGAAATAAATAGGTTGGAGAATAGGGGAGACAAAGAATATCATATACAATGCAAGTCCAGGCTTAGTCCAGCAGTCCCAAGCTGGATTAAACAGCAAGATACAATTCTTCAGCTAGTACAAGTCCAGGTTTCAGTTCAGCAGCACAGGGGCAAGAAGCCTCTGATGTGCTCAATCATCCAGCAGACTTTATCTCAAAGCAGTTGTACGTCAGCTTTTCCTTCAGTCATCCAGCAAACAAAAACCTTTAAATGTGGCCTTTATCTCCAGCCTTCCTCTGCTTAATCCTTGCCACAGTCTCTTCATAATCTCGTCACCACCACTTGTCACAGTGTGAAAAGATCCATCTAATGTTAGCTATAATGTCCCTGGTGCCACGGCCTCTTTTAAACCAAGCCGGCACATCTGGCCGCTCTCTGTTGATGTGTGTTATCGTTTGGGGATCGTTTTCAGCATGATTTTGCTTGCATGTGAGAGTAATGATATTGTTTGATGATTTTCACACTCTGTTGGGTCCCCGTTTTTTGTTGTTTGTTTGTTTTTTAATGGAAATAAGTATAGATCTCTTCTAGTCATTTTGGCCGTTGTCCTCCGGATTTCTTAACACAGTTTGGTGAGCACATATAGGGCAGCATCTTTTTTGTTGAAATAGACCTGTTGATCTGCTGTCAATTCCTGGGCCTTGTGTTTTGTCAATTCCTCCAGAGCAGCTTGGACTTGCCCCTTCATCACCTTAGGCTCTAGATCATCTTTTGCTTCATTAAATTCTCCTGTGTGAGCCATTGGGAGCCATTTGTTTTGTTTTCAAGTGCTCAAGAGCAGCAGTGTCAGTTTAAAGACAAAGGTGGTTTTGACGCTGGCCATGACATTTTTAGTTACATGATGTGGATACCAAAGTTGAGCAGTGAATAAGGAAGACTGAAGAAGAGTCAGTGCCTTTAAATTGTGATGTTGGAGAAGAGAATTGAGTATCCCGTGGACTGCAAAAGAACAAATGTGTCTTGATGAAGGAAGTATAACCAAGTTCTCCCTCAAGGCAAAGATGCTAAAACTTCAGTTTGCATACTTTGAACATGTTAGCAAGAGTAGGCAGTCTTCAGATAAAGACATCATGCCAGGAATGGTAGAGGGGGGAAAGAGGAAGACCCCCAACAAGGTGAATTGATAGAGTAACTGCACTTGGGCTTGGTGGTGATGGTGTGGATGGCGTGGGATAGGGCAGGGTTCAGATCTTTTGTTCATAGGGTCACTGCGAGTCCTGGTCCATCACTAGCACTTAACAGCAGCGTGTATAACACCTATAGTTTATTCATGCATCTCTTGATGGGCAGTTTGTTTCCATCGTTTGGCTGTTGTGAAAAGTTCTTCAGGAAACATTTATTTGTGATTAACGCCACAGCAAATTTGGATGAGCATATATCTGTTTGGGTGGCAGCTCTGTTTTCTTTAGGGTATATTCCTAGTGGTGGAATTTCTGGGTCAAATGGTATTTCTATTTCCAACTTTTTGAGAAAGTGCCATACAGCCTTCTGTAGTGAATACATCAGTTTACACTCCCATCAGCAATGAATAAGAGTTCCAATCTCTCCACAATCTCACCAGCATTTATTGTTTGCTGCTTTGTTGAATTTTGCTGTTGTTACTGTGGTGAGATAGACCGCAGCTTTTTAAAAAAAAAATTATCTTATTTTTACATGTACCGTCAAATCAGATCTGACTGGTACAGGAGGAGATTGCCCCCTCCTTCTCCAGCAGAGCATCTGGTGGATTTGAACCGTGTACCTCTGGGATTGCAGTGCAGCGCCTTGCCACTAGGCCACCAGAGCGCCCTGCATCTTTTTTTTATTATTATTATTATTTGCATTTCTCTGAGACCTAAGGATTTTGAACATTTCTTAATGTGTTTGAGTGAAATATCACTGTCACAAAAGGACAGCTGCTGCATAACACCACTATTATATAACAGGACTGACATGGGGATTTGTGGTAAACTAAGAAAAGAGCGGATAAGTAGTGGACACTGCGTTGGAACAGATGAAAGAAAGAACTGTTTAAAAGGAAGATATGATTAGGCAGTATTTGTATGACAGCAGTCTGAAATAAGAGATGCATTGCAAAGTGGTCTGGGGGAGGGGTGGGGAAGAGAGAAGAAATTGTGTAACCATGAGTATTTAAAAAAAAAAGTGAAAGGAGGGCAGGGAGAAAAATGTGCAGCAATGAATGAATGAAAATCCAGCTTTTCTGTAAACATTGTTTAAAATCACAATTGGAAAAAAAAGAAACCTTGATTTGCCGGGCGTTTTCATATCGTATGAAAGGTAAGGCCCTGAGTCCACCAGCAGCTCTGTGGTGGGAGGCTGGCCTCTCGCTCCCTGTGCAGTTTACGGTCCCTACAAACCTGCTGGAAGGTCAGCCGTGGGTCACTTCCGGCTCGATGGCACTCAACCGCAGCAGCATGGTGTTGTTTATAACAGCTTATTACTTTTAGCAGCTTTCACTTAGTTTCACAAAGTTTGATTATTATAATATTATGTTTGGTATTTTTAAAAATTCTATTTTATAAACTTTTAAGTGTTTCTTCTCTCCGAGTGACTTTTAAATAAATTTGACTTGAGTATTTTAAATTTTCAGATGCTGTAATTTCTCCAGTGACTCTCTGGATTATTGCTGATTTTGACAAGCCGTCTGGAAGAAAGCTGCTTCATAACGCATTAAAGCACATGGTAAGCATCTAAATAATGGGACTACCAAAAAGAAATTCATTTGTTTTCTTCTTTGAGAAAGTCATATGCTGTGCATGGATTAGGCCTTCACTCCACACCATGTTAATATTTTAGTTACACTTACTTAGAGTGTGGAACTCAGGAGACTGAAATGGGATTTCAGATTCATTCTCCCTATTGAACAGGTAACATTATCCATAATAAGAAACACCCAACTATGTTCAGTGACTTAGGACTTAGGAAGATTTACGTGAAGAGAGAGCAGTTGGGTCCTAAAATGATGTTATTTAGAATATCAGTTATCCAGTTCAGTAGACATAGGACTTGGTCAATGAAAAGTGGTGTGTGTGAGCAAGAACCAGCTGGGTTGGAGAGGAAACATCGACTCTCAGAATGTGAGATGATGGTGCTTTTAACCTATAAATGTTGTGTTTTGTAGAAAAGAAGTGTTGCTAGTCGGTTTGGAGTTATTTATAATCCTACATCAAAAGTCACCGAAGACAATACAATTATTTCTAGAGGAATTTTGACAGCTTTTCTTACACAGAAAAACAAGAATCTAAAAAGTTTTCTCAGGAAACTGACGACGGAAGAAATTGCCACAGCTCTTCACTCTGGAGAAAAAATCAAAACATTCCTCACTGAGGTCAGTAGGTACTTGAAATGATAAGTATGTACCTGACGTGTATATTTCAAAATTATAAGATAGTGCAATTTGAAATACCATGTTACTGAAAAACATCAGTAAGTCTAATCAACCGGACATAATCTCGATTTCTTTTCCATTGTGAAAGTAGTGATGTTAATAAGAGTTTCAGTGAAGCCATTTAACCACTCAGATTCTGTGTGTTACATCTGCAGCTTTGTTATCCGTTAGTTAGTGTTGTCAGCATTCTAGGACAGACTAGGACATGCATTTCTGGGATGGACTGAGGACTGAGGCGTAATGGAAGAATGACACTGAAGGGGTCTGGTACAACGGAACATCATTAGACAGAAGGTGAACTGAAAATAAGATTCATCACTCTATTGAAAATGTTTTTACTGGCTGCTTTACAAGACATTTTTTATTGTTGTTATTGCCATCGGGTCAGCTCAACTCCTGTCAATCCCACGTGTAACAGAACAGAACCCTGCCCCTTCCTGCACCGTCCACGCAGTCTCTGCTGTGTGAAAGCTCGTTTTTGTAATCACTGCTCGTCTACCTGCTGAAGGTCTGTCTCTCTTTCACTGACCCTCTGCTGTTCAAAGCCTAATGTCCTCCAGGGACTGGCCTCCCCTGATGTTGTTGTCATGTGCCGTCGAAATGCCTGCATCTCATAGCCACACTCTGCCCAACAGCTCTGAGCCCTGCCCTGCCTGTCCTGAGCCAGTCTCACTAACTCTGCCACACCTACACCCACTACCCCAGTCACTGGGTCAATCCTTCTCATGCAGGGTCTTCCTCTCCTGCATTATTCCTCCACCTTTCCAAGCATGATGTCCATCTCCAAGGACTGGCCCCTCCTGGCAACATGCCTGAATTTTGAAGACAGAGCTTCAAAATCCTTACCTCTCAGGAGCAACTTGATTTCACCCTCTGCATGACGCTCCGTCTAACTTACTTTGGACATGTAGTGAGGAGAGACCGGTCCTTGGAGAGGGACATCATGCTTGGGAGGGTGGAGGGACGGCGCAGGAGAGGAAGGCCCTCTATGAGGTGGATTGATTCAGTGACTGGGATAATTGGGATGGGAGTGTCAGAGACAGTGCGATTGGCACAGGACAGAGCGGAGTTTAGGGCTGTTGTACATAGGGTCACTATGAGTCGCAGGCGACTCGACGGCACATAACAACAACAACAACACTTCTGAGACAAGTTTGTTTGTTTGTTCTTTTGGGCAGTCCACAGTATAGTGGTTTTTTTTTGCCAGTCCCATAAGATAATTAAAACAGAATCCTTTCTCTTGGAGAGTTTATGTTAGTGACAAAGGCAGGCAGACTCTGCAAGATCCTGTCAGTGCTTGTGGAGAAACTCTAAGTAAATAGAACACATTAGTTCTATTGACATTGGTAAATAAAACACTGCTTTTATGGGGTGCTATTTTAGGTGGAATATTTAGAGAAGACATCTCTAAAGAGCTTAAATTTGAGTAGCTCTTTGAGAGAAATAATAAATCAAGCCCTAGAAAGGTCTGGAAGAGGAGTGTAACAGGCATAAGTCGGAGCAAGCAGACATAGTCATGCTGGATTGCAGGATCACCTTCATGCTTTAGGCACATGGTAGACTTTGGCTACTAATTGGAATTGTGGTGTATTGGGAAGCTTCTCTGAATTATGAGACGGTGAATAATCTAGAAAAAACTCACTTTAGATGCCATGTAAAATTTCGTAGTAGATGCATAAGAGTAAAAAAAACAGGCTGAGAAACTAGAATATTGTTATAATAATGAAGGAAAGAAATACTTGCATCTTGAACTAATAGCAGTTGAGAGGATAACTAGTAAGAGATAGTTGATGCATATAATATTTGTTGCAGCTGAAGCCATAGCAGGGTTAGCTGATCAGTTGTATGTCACATATTTAAGATAAGCTAACATTTTTCCTAGAAAACTAGACTGATAGTGGTCTTTTAATTGAGATGAGGAAGACTAGAGAGTTGGATACGTAGAAGATAAGTTCTGTATGTATTAAATTGGTGATTCCAGATAGACATTGAAGTGATGGTGTTGAGTTGACAATCGAATGAATGAGTGTAGAACTCAATGCATGGCTGCTATGTCAGTTTTAGAGTCATCAGTATTAAATTGTACTTAAAACACTGGATGAGATCTCTTAGGAAGTGAATAAAGGTAGAATGGTGAGGAGAAGGGAGGGCAGAAAATGAGCCCTGGAGTATTATGCCATGTGCAGATAGATGAAGGATGGTCTGGTAAAGAAGAATGAGAGTAGCTAGTGAGGTAGGCAGATAGGTGAGAGAGTGTGGAATGATGAGAGCTAAGTGGACAGTGGGAAGTGTGATCCTTCTCCCACAGAGCAGCTGGTGGCCTCGAACTACATGCCTTCAGGATTGCAGTGCCCTTGACACAGAGGAGTATATTCTTTTTTTAAAAAAAAATTATTATCTTTGTGTGTGTGTGTGTGTGTACCATCAAATCGGATCCGACTGGTACAGGAGGAGATTGCCCCTCCTTCTCCAGCAGAGCATCTGGTGGATTTGAGAGGAGTCTATCTTAATATGAAGTTTTAAGAAGCCTATTTATAGTCTTATTTTCTGTGAATGCTGAAATATGTTTTGGTCTTTGTAAAAGAAGCAAGTGTCATGTGGGGGCAGGCATATCTGACCTTTACCAACTCCACAAAGGGGAACTGTCCCCATCAACAACACAAAACCAGTTCTCATGCATTCAGGCATGTGCCCCACCCTCTCATACCTCTTTCTACTTATCCTAGTGCCAGTCTTACTGCTCTTCTGGGTCCAAAATTTATTGCAACAGCTGACCACACATATTAGGGAGGTCAACAGGCTATAATTCAGGTTGGCAGCAAGGTAGAATTACGTCAGTCAAGACAGCCTCCAAAATATGCTCAGTTACACCACTCCCACCCCCGTCTTCCAGAAAATTTGGGCAAAAACTCTTAACCTCTGGTTCCATGGGGTCGCAGTTCAGTTCTGTCTCGTTTCGGGTCTCTGTTTTCTGCAGCAGCTGCTCCTGTAGACCCTGGTCAGATTAGTGCAAGAATCTTTGGCCCTGAGAAACACACTGTGCAAGCTTTGCTGATCTTAAGAGTCTCCAAATCTGCCACTGATCCGCGCAATTTAATGGCGAGACCAACTTATCCCCTTGTGGATAGACTAACACACCCTATGTGCATGTTTCTGCCCATCCACAAGAGTGGCTAGGAAAGCGGTCTTGGACAATAAACCCTAGACACTGGAATCTTTAGCTAAGAGATACTTTTGGTATTCTAGTATTTAAATACACTGTAGATAGACCTTGACTTTCAATGAGATTCTATTCTGATGATTCTGTCTTAAGTCAATGATGATGTAAATCGAGTAGTTTTCTTTTTTTAGTCTTTATTATTATAGCTTTTTATAAATAAATCATGACCTTGAACATAGGCAGGTGAATATCTGAGAGTGATTGTGTCAGCTCCCTGTGATGACATCAGCATAATTCCCAGCGTCATGTGTGGTATATATTACTATCGGTAAACTGTAACCCCCCCAAAATGTGTACGTTTGGTACATTATAATTCATACACATGCTAAGTCTGGAAACTGCTCATTTTACTCACTTGATCTCATGGAGCTGATGCAGTGGTCTAACCAAAACCCAAACCCACTACTGCCAACTTGGTTCTGGCCCCTTGCTGACCCCCTCAGGTTTCTGAGGCTGTAAATCTTTGCAGGAGTGGGCTGCATCCGTATTTCCCCAGTGGAGCAGTGGGTGGTTTCAAACTGCTGACCTCTTGGTTCACAGTTCCACCTGGTATGCACCTCTCCACCAGAGCTCCTATGGTAGCATAAGATACCTAGATATTTTTAAAAGCATCTTTTTTTTTTAATTGAGCACATCCAAATGGAGAGAAGGTAATGAATTCTGAACGCTGTATAATTGAGATTAGCATGAGCGGGTTTTTTCCCCCTTAAATACTAAATTTTATGTAAGTTGTTGAGCCTGCCTGGCATTTTACTCATTCTGTAGCCCTCTTGATATTCTCAGAAAACAAGTGATGGTGGTGGTGGTGGTAGTTCTGTCAAGTCAGAATAAACCCACAGCTGACCCTCCAGTGAGTTTTCAGAGGCAGTAAATTGCACGGGAGTAAATTGCCCATCTTTCTCCCGGGGAGCAGCTGGTGAGTTAGAAGCACCGGGCTTCTGATTGGCAGCACAGCTCCTGCCACTCGGCCACCAGATCTCCCAGAGGACAGATAGAAGTTACTTCTACTTACAGCAAGATTTCTGAATATTTCCATTTATCGGCCGAATGCATAGCTTTGGGGGCCCAGTCGTTAGGGCGTTAGGCTGGTAGCCCGTGTGGCCGTTGGAATCCTCCAGCAGCTTCTCGAGAGGGCAGTGGGCAGTCTTCCCCTGTCAGGTTCACAGCTTCCAGATCACCCACTGGACGGTCACTGAGAACTTGGTTCTGACCCAGCAGTAAGGAGAAGACAACGGTTTTGCAAAGGAAGATTCTTTTTTTGTAAAATAAGGTTTTAGAAGAAAATAATACTTTCAGAAATAATTGGATAAAGATGTATAGAAATTCAGTTTTTAAATGAACATTAGTTAAAAGTGGGTTGTATTAAAAAATTTATTTCCTTTCCACTGTCTTATTAGTTTTATCTTTAAAAAAAAAAAAACAAAAACAAAAAACAACCAACTTTTGTTTTAGGAAATGGATCAGAAAACCTTTGAAAAAAAATACAATACCGTTGGAGTGAATATATTCCGAACTCATCAGTTGTTCTGTCAGAACGTCCTTAAATTGAGTCCTGGGGAAATAGGTGTTGTCAGCAATGGAAAAGTAAGTAGAATGCCATTGTGTTGCTTTTCTCAGTGACACTTGGGTACAGGGGTCCACAGACTGTCTGCACAGCACACCTGATACAGCACACGCAGAAGATGATGCTGGACACCCTCGGCAGGACTCGCAACAGGTTTGCTTTTGAGATGCTGCGTTCACAGCATACCTTTCTTCCATTCATGGTAGCATGAAATACAGATAAGGAAGAATATTCGTCTACAAATAGCTTTGATTTTTATTCTAATATAAATATGGAACCAAGTAGCTTAGTACATTATTACAACATTGTAATAGTTTAAACAAAACGTAATATTTGTATTGTGAGATAACGTTTTATTTATCACATTTTTATAAGCTTTGTAGACTTGCACGCTTCATTCCCATGTCCAAATAATCCTTAAATTTGTTCTCATATTCTCTCTTACATAAATCTGTAAGATAATGGGCAAGTAGGAGTGACTGCAGTAGTCACTGTGAGAAATACATGTGGATTGGGCCAGACCAATCGTACTTAAATAGTAAGTGGGTGTTGGCTGTAATTTGGAAGACATTGTGATGGATAAGGGCTGTTCAGTGTAGAAAAGTAAACAGTTCTGTTCTGAGCATATTCCATGTTCAGAATTTTCAAATAAACTTGCTGACTATGCGACTGAGTATGAGTTTCAAAGGAAAAGCTAGAGTTTTAGATAGATCGTAAATGAGGTTGACCTTTTGTATTGCCTAATGATTAATGCGAACTAAGATTTTATTTGTCATTGTATTTGTGGAACTGTGGTTTGAGTAAAAATACTATGTATTTGAAATTATTGTGATTAATGAATTATGATATTTAAATGCTTATTCTTTCTCTAGATAATACTATCCAGCATAATAATTGTATCACTGATAGCATATGACGGAATCAAATAGTTTAATGCTTAAAGTCATTTTAATGACATTTGTTCTGATACTGTCCAAATATTTAATTAGACTATATTCAAAGTTAGAATTATTTATAAATGACTATGAGTCGCAGGCGACTCGACGGCACATAACAACAACAACAACAACAATTGGTGTGCAGTTGTGGTTTCAGAATTTCTTACTGATGTACTCAAGAGTTAAAATTTTATGCATAAGTAGATAAAAATCCTAACTACTGCTGTTCTAATGCTAATATACTTATTTTAACCACATAATTGCAGTAAATCACAGCTAGGTCTCTTCTTTAACCAGACAAATTTGGAATAAAATTCCTGTGGCTCCTCCCATATTTTTGCACAAGCAGCATGTGTTTGAAATTTCTGACATCTCTCTGGCTAGTGCTTTACTTGCCTTTGCATGTTCTATGCATGCATGTATATTATAGACTAAAATACATTCATCATGTAACTTGGAGACTTAGTTTCTTCATTTGAACAATGAAAATGGGGTAATGATTTGTTTTTCTAGTCTTGTGAGATTGAATGTAATATACAGAGCCCCAGACAGTGAATAAATTTGCAGTAAATATTAACTCTTGTATTTCCTTTAAATATGTGAAGGCTCCCATATGAAATAGTTGGTACACTTGTAGATTTCATTTGTGTTGCATTAACTGTGGGCACATAGTCCAGAGGCCATTTCACTGTTAACCCAAAGGCTGTGCCTCTGCTGGTTCAAATCCACCAGTGACTCCGTGGGAGAAAGGGGGCCTTCTCTTCCTGCGCCAATTACAGCCTTAAGCACACAGTGTAAGGTCAGCTTTGAGTCACTACCAACGTAATGTCCCTGAGGAGGAGGAGGAGCAGCTGAGAATCCAGTCCAAGATCAGTCGGTCAAACTTGAATGTCGTTAAGTGGTGTCACGTGGAAACTGACTCATAACTGACCTTCCGGGGGGTCGGTTTCTCAGGCTCTGAATCACTTAGAAGATAGCAGGTCTTTCTCCTGTGTAGCAGCAGGTGGATTTGAACTATATGCTCTTTGAGCTGGCAGTGCAACTCCTTACCACTAGGCCCCCAGAGCTCTCCAAACCTAAATGGATGGAAAGAAATAGTTTAGAACAGTATATGAATAAGTGCTCTAACAGACTTTTCTAAGTTTTTTTCATGAGCAACCAAAGGAGATAAGGCATTTTTCTTAACAGCAGTTACTCTGTGTAAGTGAAAAATGAAATAGATTATATTTTACCATTTCATGATTTTCAAGTTTAATGTCCCTTTTCCCAACTTAGTGTGCAATTCTATGTCATTAATTATGTTAGTCCACAAATATGTTCAACATTAAGTACAAAACCTGAGGTACAGAAAATCTCCATTTCTCCTAGTAATGAGACTGTTGCTTGCTTAGACAAAAGTCAGTTCTCTCGTGAGTTTATGTAGTATAATAGCCAGTCTTGCTAATAAAATAATTTAAGGAAGAATTTTCTACTTCTTGTGTTCTTGTCCATATTATTAAACGAGCTACCTGAATCACCAAAGGTGTATTGTAGTGATCATTTTTATGTTTTTAACATCCAGTAGTCAAAACAGATGTGATAATTTATTTAACTGGTTAGAATGCCAACATTCCAACTGACGTCACCTTTGATACTAGCAAAAGAGGTAGGAACGTTAAAGAAGTATACTCCAGTAATACTAGAAAATACTGATTGTAGAAGCCGATGAAAGGAAACTAAGACATGAATGGAAAAGGAACCACAGCTCTTTGAATTGCAACTAAAAAAGATTTTACCGTTGAGATCAGGAAAATAAATATTCTAAATGACATGTTTTCTAATTAATTGCTTGTGTCGTTAAGATTAATACGTGAATCTATCAGAATGCTTATAGAAAGGAGTTCTGTCACGCTCACCTCCTACATCAGGGCTTTATGTGCAGAATATGATGACAATTCCTTAAACTGGCTTCATTAGAGAATGCTAGTGGTAGGAGAATAGATTGTTGTAATAGGATAAGCATCCTGAGATAGTAGATAATGTAACATTCTGATTAATTTTTGCTCGTATAGTTACTGGTCCAAATATAAATTAAGTAAATTTACCGTGCTTCAAATTAAATACCAGTTAGATGATAATTATTTGACGTGATTATGGCAATTAAGAAATTTTTCTCTTGGTTTTTACCTTGTTTATGTTTTTATTAATTTCTACATACACATGAATATAAAAGAATATAAAATACATTTCTATATAAATATAAAATAAAGTTTATTTTGCAAAATTTATTAAATACAGAAATTATAGAAATTTTTTCTTCATTTAGATTGAAAAGTTTTAGGTTCCTATTTGGAATCATAACTATAAAATAAAGCTTCCAAATAAAAGTAATGACCCATTTTCTGATCACTTTTTATTTTCGTTTATATGTAATATTATTTGTAATATAAGAGTAAGAAAATGTTTGTCTTTTACTTGCTTTCCAGTGGATTTTTGGAGGGTGGGCCTAATAACCATCATCTGTCTTATCTCTCATCACCTTTTCCCAACATCAACAAAAAAATCTATTTTAATTAGAAAATGTTTTTCCTAAGCAGGTGTTTTCCAGAAGACGCATGGCGATAACTGTCTCTATGTTTTAAGTTCTTAGGACCTTTAGATGAAGCTTTGTATGTGGAAGATTTTTACTTGTTGGAAAAGATAACTTATACTAGTTTAGTAGAGAAGATTAAAGACATTGTTAAAAATATGGAAACCAACTCACAGAAGTAAGTGTTTAACATCCTAAGGTTAATTCATTTTCACAGCTAGGCATTTTAAATGGAATTGCTTTTTTTATCTTTAACATAATCTTAAATACCTAGAAAGAGAAAGATAGTATGAAATGCCTATAAGCAGACTATGAAAAGTGTTAAAAGGGGCTCCTTCACTCACCGTCAGGAGCCCTCGTGATGTCGTCTGTACAGAACTGCCCTACTAAACAAAAGCGCTCGCCTTCCCGGTGGTTCGTATCTCAGCTCTTTGGAAGAAAGCTGGGCAGTCTCCTGTACGTTACGTCTCTGTGGGCTCCGAAAGCCCGTGGAGGGACAGCTGGGAATTGGTTCTGACTCTTTGTGACCCAACAACAGAACTAAGTAATACCCAGTCCTGTGCCATTCTCACCATTGTTGATGCCCGTTGTTGAAACCACAGTGTGAGTCCTTCTCCTTGAGGATTTTTAGCCAGCATAATGTTCTTCTCCAGGAACTGGCCATCCAGATTGCATGCCTGAAGTATGTGAGATGAAGTATGT